CGCAGAGAACCCCCCCCCCCCCCCCCCCAATCTGCACTGACTGATTTCTTCTCACAATTAGGAATTCCGTTTTCCAGCAGCCCGTGGGCTGACATAACCTTACTGCTAATGAGGTGATACTGCTCCAGCAGAGGGGATCAATTTGGAGGTCTCGAGTCATGCGTGCATCAAGCCCCAAGCTTGTTCCTGTGTGCCAAAGATGAAAAATACGTTGTTAAATAGTAATACAATAGTAATAGTCCTTTTCCTCATACTTTCAGACGGATATTAGGGATGTTGAACGAAGAATTGCTCAGCAGGAGGCTAAGCTGCTAGGGGTCGATTTAAGTAGAACTGTTCTACAAGTAAGCCATGAAAAACAAGAGAAAAAACACTTGTGGGATACAGGTAGGTCAAATAAAACTAGTATTTCATTTTTGTATTGAAATCACTGTTCCAAACTTCCTGCCATTAAAATGTTAGTTTACTTATTTTACATTCTGAAATAGCTGCGTTCTAATAGTTTGTTGGTTTGATTTTTGGGGGGATCATACTAGCTTAATTTAGAGTTAAATTTTCATAAGGAAGACAATAAATGTTTTTAATAACAAATTGACTGTTTCACTCTCTGTTTTCATCCCAGTTACTGGTAAAATTGAGTTAAATCAAAAACGCAAGCAAGACCAGCAAAATCAGATTCAGCAGCTGAAGAGTACAGTTAATGAGCTTAAAGCAGAGAAACTTCAGATTTCCAGCAACATGCAGCGTCGTCGGCAACTGGAGGAGCAAACAGTGGAATTAACCACCGAGGTTCAGTCCTTATGCAGAGAGATCAAGGTAGGAAATACTCTTAACTATTTAGCACTTAGCTTTGTTGTCCTGGGAAAAAAATAATAATCTTGTTATATTTAATATTGCCTGTAATCCTAGCAAATAAGATGTATTTTTAAATGTTTGTCCTGTGCTGCTGTTGCATATCTTTGGCAGTTTCCAGAACTTTATTAATACGTATTTTCACATCTTTTTTTTTTAAACACACCCAAAAAACCCAAAGTAACCACACACCCTTTTTTTAATACTTGGAAAATTACTGATCTTCAACAGAATGAGAAAAATAAAAAGGACTTTCTCCAACTACTTTTCAGGAAGCAGAAGAACAGGTATTTCCTTTGGATGCAACTTTAGAAAAACTGCAGCAGGAGAAGGAGGATTTAATTAATAAAAGGACTGCAAGTAATAAAGAAACACAAGAGAAGGTTGGTTTGCTTTTGGCATAGCTGGGAGAGAGGTTTCTGTGTTGGTTTTTGGGTGTGGATGGAAGCCACGGTAATGAGTTTGCTTTTAGGAAGCAGCAGTGACTCCAGCAAATGTTTTAGATTGGCAGAGCTTTTCGGGCAGAAAAGGAACATAGCTAAGTCAGGAGATGAGCTCAGCTGTAAGTAACCTTTGGCAGTCTTGCCGAAAGGCTTCTAGGGCCATTTGGCAATATTTAGTGACCAGTGGTTTTAAAAAGCGCTTCCTAATAGATCTAAGAGGAGTAGCAATGATGATGTAACTTGTCTTTGCCAAGAGCCAAAGCTGTTTTTCTCAGGTGAAGTGGCCCTCTGGTGTGAGCACAAATGAGTGATTTACCATTTGTTTTGGAAGGCGTTTTCATGGTAATAAGGAGCATCTGGATTTCAAAAGCTGAAGGCTTTGTTAGTAAATGGAAGGGAGTTGTGGTAAGGAATTGTACTTTGACGGTGGTGTTATCAAGTATCTGATACAGAGTGCATCAGTTCTTGGACATAAGACTACAGTTCATTTGAAATCTTTTCCCTGCAGATAAATGGCATAAAAGAGAAAGTTAAAGATATAAACAAGTATGTGAAAGAAATTGAAAACTATATTCAACAAGGAAAAGACGACTATAAAAAGGTAATGTGAAAACCAGTCAGTAAAAAGTTGACATTAAAAGCACTTTTGAATATAAATTGTATATCATTTTATTTCTTTAGCAAAAGGAGTCTGAACTTGATGAAGTAAATTCTCAGTTAGCTGCCTGTGAGAAACAGAAGGAAAAAATAAGTAAAGAGATGGAAATGATTCGACAAGATATTGACACTCAAAAGGTAGATGCGTTGTTTTACAGTAAAGTATATTTTGCATTGTTGAAATAATTTCTGGTTTTGGTTTAAAGCTGCCTAGGTCTGTAGTGGTGCAAAGTTTGTCTCCTCCTAATTTTACTTAATCAGTTGTTAGTCAGAATACCTGCTTCACATGCACTAGGCTGAAAAAAGTCTTGAGATTTGTATATGCAAAAGCAGATGTGTTTTAGGAAACTTAATCTCTGTCATTTTGTGGTATTTCCAAAAGGGTTAAGTCTGTTGGGATAATAGCCAGCATTTTCAAAAGTATCTTTGTGGGGAGAGCAAGACAGCTGTAAGGTGGTTCTGTTGCAGGTACCGAAAGTTGCTAGTTACTCCAGATTTTGTTGTGTGCTTTAAATTCTTGTGTATGCATTTCAAATACCGTTTACACTCTTTAGAAGAAAGATGTCTTTCCTCATTCTGCCCCACCGCTTGCTGTCTAAGTTGTAGAACTGAGATGGGGCACCTTGTTAAATCTCATCCTAAATCACTTGCCCTGTTTGAAACATTGATTGATATTCACACACAGGATCGCTCTTGTGTTCACCTGCGACAGTAAATACTGTCAGTATTATTTCAGATTGAAGTACAAAATAATACTGCTGGTTTCCATTATACCCTATTTCTAGCACAAGATAAGTTCTCGCTGTGGTAATTTTCGTCGTCAATTATTTTATGCTTGTGGCATGTTTCAGAGTTGTGTTGTAATTAAGAATCAATATACAGAAACATTACACAACTTCCTCCTTTCTGTGGAGATAGATACAGGAAAGGTGGCTAGAGGATAATCTCACTTTGAGGAAACGGAATGAAGAGCTGCGAGACGTTGAAGACAAAATAAAGCAACTTGTGAAGGAGATGGGAGAAATGAAAGTCCCGCAAATGAAAAAGTAAGCCTCTTCGAAACAGAGCAGCATGTTTTGCACAAGGATTCACCGCCTATCTGACTGTAATATTCACTGTGGTTTTGGTGTGTTGCCTGGTCCACCTTTCCCCCCATTCACGCAGACCACTTCCTCCTTCAAACTCGTAACATTCCCATGACGACGACATGAATGAGTCGGTGAAATTGTGTAGTGCTTCTGGCTAGAAGTGCATACGTGTACACGTGTGCCCACACCTGTTCTACCTACTCCATTTTTTAATGACTTCCACTGCTAAATCCACATTTAAAAAGTAATTCATGTCTCTGGATGAGAGTATTTGGTTTTCGATTTCAGTCTCCTCACTTAGGTCTCAGCAGCGAATTTTGTATTGACTTCAGTAGTTTAATATTAAATTGCTTAGATAATAAACACGTTTGAAAAGGAATTAGCCCTATGCTGGTTCTTAGGTGTGAACTGTTTCTTGAACTTTCTAGAAGTTACCCAATTAATTAATCTTATTTTGCTCACTATCCCAATTTAATTCCACCTGTGAAATTAATTATTTTGTATGTTTCTACATATAGCAGTTTGGCATTCGAACTTGATAACTTGCTTCTCCCACTCAGAATAGTGATTTGAATGTCTTCTTAGCAAACTTAAAAATATTTTTATTTCAATAACGCCTTAATTTCAGTGACGTTACTACTGTAATTGTAATAAAGTCTGTAGCAGTTACAATATAATGAGCTACTGTCTAGCGTAAACTCAAAATTAGAACCCTGATTACAAAATTGTGACACACTAAATACAAAAGACTTGTATATCCATTATGGTTTCACAGTGAACAAAAACATTTAGAGGAGAAAATAGAATCTCTGAAAAGAAACCATCATGTTGCACTTGGCCGACAACGTGGATTTGAGGAAGAGATCGTTCGGTTTAAAAAGGAACTTCGAGAGTCACAATTCAAAGATGCCGAGGAAAAATACAGGGAGATGATGATCGTTATGAGAACAACAGAGCTAGTGAACAAAGATCTGGACCTTTACTACAAGGCTCTGGATAAGTAAGTATTGCCGTATCAGGGTAACTCTGAAATGGTTTAGGCTTTATTGTTATTGATAACCTTGATGCAAAAGCAGCTTTCAATTTCAGACTTCTGGGGGTAACTTAGAAATATTAAACTGATATCATTCTTTGAGATGTATAATTATTTCTCTTTATAAAATCCGGCATTTAAACATTAATGTAAGGTAACAAGGTACACCTTTTTAAGTAAATTGGTGAAAATATACTACAAACTGCACAGGATTGGTCGGATGTAGGAAATTTGTGAGTTAATGTGTATAATACATATACAGTGAATGCATTGGTGGTAATAATTAGAGTTTAATGTACTCATAGGTGCGTCCAGTGAGCATGATAATTTTATTCCCAGTTCTCTGTAGGACCATTTCTGAGTTCTGGTTGTACGTGTTAGGACTCATATTTTCAATGCAGCATTTCCAAGTTGAGAGAGACAATAGTGAGTGAACCCAACACCTCACCCACCTGAGCCTTCTGTGCTGAATTCTTGGCCTGAAGTAATCTGCTGTGGTGGTTAGAGAATGTCCTGACAATAAACACGTTCAACTTTGGATGTTGTATGAAAACAGCCGCAGGCTGTTCCTCTGTCCCTATTCCTCTGTAGCCTTTTTTTTTTTTTCCACTTGAAGGTGTCTGTAGGAAGCTTTTGTAGGTGTGTCTCCCAAAATTGCTGATCGTTTTCCTTTCTTCCCGTGATTTTGGTGGGGTTTGGTTTTGAGGGAAGTGGAGGAGAGTGTTACAGGATATGCAGTGGGTAATTGGGAGGATGTTTCTCACAAGTCTGTCTCACATGTTATCTGAAAATACATAAACTCCATGGTACAAGTCTAGGAAAAGTGAAATCTGTTGTTTAAATCCTTCATTATCACCCCAGGTCTTCCTTGCGTAGTCTCTCATACTGCTTTCATTTCTGTAGCAGCGTATTTTAGCATTGATACCTTACCATGAGTAAGATATGCCAGGTAGCTTTCTTGTTCCCCATGATCTTCTCAAGTAAACAATTGTCTTTTCTTTAAAGAATATTACAATATAGACATGTGTTTTCCCCTTCCCCAGTGTAGGTGGTTGTGTGCCTATGTTAGAGAAGGCAAGATCAAAAGGAACTTCTCTTGCATTTGATGGGAAGCCTAGGAAACTTTGTGATTGTTTCTGCTTCCTCTGGAAGCTTGTTTTCTAGTCTTGGACTGACTGGCCAAAAACAGCATCTCAAAATTTGTAAACTTAGGCAAAGTAAAACATATAACTTCCTAAAACCCCTGTGTGTTCCGTGACAATGGTGGCATTGCAATGAGCTGTTGCAGCTTGATGGACAATGGAAGGATCTTGCAGTCAGTGGATACGTTTCAGGACATAGGAAACTGTTGCTCAGTGACAGAAAGATAAGTTGAATATTAGGAACTAAAAAGAATTCCCAGTATATCCGTGTCTTGAATGTAGTATGGAATTTTGGTCTCCTGTTTGAAAAAGGGTCTAGGAGTGCCAGGAGAAGGAGCACAGAAGAGCAGTAACGTGGTTGAGGGTACAGCATAACAGTCAAGAAGAGAAACTAAATAGATGAGAACTTTCCAGGTTGAAAAGATAGTCTAGAGGAACCCTGTTTTAAGCAGTTTTAATGACGTCATGTACCTAAGTAAAGTTAAACATAATATTAGAATGTAAGTTAATGCAGAATTTATTTTGTGAAGATCTGAATTGTTCAAGTATAAATTCTTCCCTTTCAGCTTAAATGGAAATGCACTCCAAGAATTTCCCTTTTAGAATTCAGAACCTTCTTGTACGGTATCAAATCATCTATTGTTTCTGTTTAAGGCAAAACAGGAAATCAGTCTTGTAATTTCAAGAAAAATAGATAAGCATCACTTTTTGGTAATCGCCTGAAAAATCGGTGAGACGAAATGTTAACTTTAATGGCCAGAGATTGAAAGCCATATCTGTAGCTGGGAAGACCAACATTTGGGCGTTCTGTCCTATCAGCTGATCTTTATTGACTTAATATTTAGAGGTTTATGATAAATATTGCTGAGGAATGCATTCTCAGGTTTAATTAAGTAAACAGTTGAAAACACTGTCTTCTTTCTTCAGACTTAACAAATCCTATTAGAGTTGATACTTATTCCCCAGAACAGGTGGAGATAATTCCTTTAAGGAGGGAGGTAGGAAAAGTGTATGCAAAAGTCCATTTCAGAATTGCGTTTTATTTACCTTTTTTTTTTTTTTTTTAAAGATGACATCACAATAAATTGAGCAAGCATTTTTTTCATTACAGACTACTTTTTCTTTAAAAAAACAAGTTAGAAATGCAGCATCCTGTCCTTTCTCGAATGCTTTTTATTGTAAGGAATCATCTATTATTGAGGTCGTGTTGACATGTTAACCAGGGAAATTAAATTGGAAGTTGTGAATGACATCCTATGTAACTCTTGCTGCTGAAGGAGAGGGAGCTCTAGTCATAGCATCAGTTTGGGTAATTATAAATTATATTCTTGATAAGAATTCTCTTCTCTGAGGAAAACTTCACAGGCTTTGCTTTCCTACTGAGACCCAGTTATTTGCATTGTTGGGGGACCGTGCCAGCAAGTGACACCACTGCTGTTTTAACATCAGGTTCACATTCCTGGTGTCAGTCTGAATATACAGCTCACACATAAATTACAAATCTCTCAAAGTCAGGTAAAAATTGTTCTCTGAGTGACTGCAGATCATTTTGTCTTCATTAGTCTCCTACTTCTTGAGAGTGAGCTGTGTGTGAGAGGAGAATTGTTCATGCAATAGAGTGTGGTTAGTCTTTAGATACTTCTGCATTCGAAAGGAACTAGTATTTATTATATTTTTAGTAGAAGTATTTAGGGAATGGAAAGGGAGCTGCTGCCTTCCTTAAAGCCCTTGCAGTCTGTAGCGGTTCACCTATAACAATTTGCATTTTTTGTTATTCTTCTTTAGAGCAATAATGACATTTCATAGCATGAAGATGGAGGAAATCAACAAAATAATTCGTGACCTTTGGCGGAGCACCTACAGAGGACAAGGTATGTAATTTTTTGTAGTTTTTGTCTATATGTATCCATTTGATATTGAGCACTGCATCCAGAAAAGTGTTCAAAATATTGAAAATCCAGGATCTGAAAATAGTTGGTTCCATTCTAAAGGCTACATCTGTTGTTCACCACTATAATCCTTTTACTACACTTTATGTAGTAAGTTACAGGATCAGTAGAGTTAATTTTCTCTTTTCCATGTTTTCCAAAGGTAAAGGTTTCCTTGACACAGGGGAACTGCATGAGTTCATTCTTTCAGTTTTGGAAAAATCAGTTTCAAAGATGTATCTATTAGTCAGAGTTCTGATTACAATTTTTGTGGTTACTGCCTATTATACATCTCAACTCCTGTTAATCCTATGGTATTTTTAAGTTTTTAATAGTATAAAAACTGTCTCCTTCCCATTTTCAGATATTGAATACATAGAAATACGTTCTGATGCAGACGAGAACGTCTCCGCCTCTGATAAAAGAAGAAGTTACAATTATAGAGTAGTAATGATAAAGGGAGACACGGCACTGGATATGCGAGGAAGATGCAGTGCTGGGCAGAAGGTAATAGCTTTTTATTTTTAGTTTGCAGTAAACGAGATCCTGAAAACTGCCTCAGGTGAATGCGGAAGAGTAATGCGTTCTGAGGCGACCCTGAAGAACGGGTGGCTCCAACTCTAGTTCAGAATTCTGCACAACTCTCCTTCCCTGTGTCTGGATGTTGCTGACAGTGTGCCACACGTGATTCTGAACATCTGAACCCTCTTTTGGGGTGCCAAAATCCATTGCTTCGGTTGGGGACCAGTCTTAAGTCACTGCAAGAGTGAAGGGTTCAACTTCTCCCTCTCCTCATTTCAAACCCTCCCAGTCTGTCTCTTGCTGGTTACCACTGAGCTTCCCATAGCTTTAGGTCTGTTGACTTGCTCCCAGAATTTTTCCTTCCTGAGGACTGGCCCTCGGTCTTTTCTGTGTCTTTCTCCAAGTGGGGTAAGACCTCTTTTTCTCCAAGTTACACTACTCTCCCCTGCTGCTGAATGTCACCTTTCAGTTCGTGTCACCACGTATCACACCATGCCATGCTTCCAGGCGCTGCCTTTCATCCTGTCCTAGCTGGGTCAGCTCTCGGCTCCGCAGTCCAGCCATTTGGCTGCCTCGGTGCTTTAATAACACACGCTGACCGAGTGGGCTGATGTCACACCTGCCTGGGCAGTACCAGCGATCAGAGGTTCATCATGGTTAACCACACCTCTTCCACACATTGGGGCTCAAGAGCTGTTGTTTCCATCTCTGTTATGTTGTGACAGAACATCTAAAATATTCCCGAGCAAGAGAAAAGAACCCGCCTTGTTCGTCTGCCTCCAAAATCACCATTTGTTTGTTTGTTTGTTTTTTTTTTTTAAAAAAAAAAATAAATAACTGAGGTGTGGAAAAAGAACATTATACTTGTAGCCATAACCCTTGGCATGTTGGTTATGCAGCTTGGGCAACCAAAGCTACCTGCAGTATTACAGCAGGAAACCTGCTGCTTCCTTAGATGAACCCTTTCCACCAGAACAAGCCGCCTTCCCAAATGCAGAGGTAGTAGAAAGGGACAAAAACGCAGCCTGGGCTGCTCTTACTTCTTCCCTGCTGGAACTCTTCCTGCCCATCCCTTGTGCCTGCTGCACTGGAAAGGAGAGCCCAGGAGAGCTCTCCCGACACTTAAGGCTCTATGCAAGGTGCCAGTGACAACCCAGCCAGAGGGCACTGCAAATGTCCGAGGGAGATGCATTCTTCTTCCTCCTGGACAGTGGGAGCTGGAGCTTTCTGGCTCCTGTTCTTCTGCAGTAGCTGAAAGGGCTGTGATGGCAACAGATTTAGCCCTCTGAAGTTGAGGAAGAATTGCCGTTCTCTGAAGTAACAACCTGCCTGCTTCCTGACCTCCAGAGCAGCAGTTCCCACTGTGCTGCTTGCTTCAGCGGGGTTTCATTGGCAGCCGGGCCTTTTGCACGACCAGATGGTACAGACAGTAATAGAAAATGAAATCAAGGAAGGGAACAAAAAGATACACCATGTTTCTAAGGGCACACAGCAAGAGACTCATGAGAAGGTGAATGCTCTATTGTTGCTTGAATATGAAAAATGCTGTCAAATTAATTCCCACCTGAGTGTAGGTGTGTACTTTGTTTTGAAAATTCCATACTAATTTGGGGGGAAATCCAAGTCTGATAAAACAGCAGTATAGGCAAAAAATGTGTCCTCTCCTAAAGCAGTCTAGGATGTTACGTTAGAGTCCTATGTAAATGAGAGTGAAACTTGTTCACAGTTTCTTAGCTTATATTCTGAGAATTCTTCTTTGATCATGAACTGTGATGCCAGCAGTCGTGATAATTGGAAAGTATTTTTGGCAGCACAGTTTCCATCGAGTGTTCTGTAATTTTCACTAGTTCAGGAGATCTAATAACAATATGATGAGGCATGTTAATACAAAACTAACAGGTAAGGTGGTAAATCCTGCTGTCATCACTTTTAGTAAGTAATCAAGGAGTTTGGTAACTCAAACTGAGCGATACACGAGCAAATTTCCACCATCCCTGCTGCACTAGGGTGGGGCCTGAGTGGAGTGTAGGTGTAAAGCAGATGGCAAAGTCGTAGCATCCTTACGTCAGACTGGAACCCTCACTTCCAGTATCTCCTGAATTTTGAGTGTTTGATTCTAGGGTATTTTTCCAACAGTACTTTGTAGAATGGATCTTTCAGTTCAGACTTGAAGTTTTAACATAGTTTTTCAGTAAGTGATTAGTCACTGTCATTTTGTGACCTGTCAGCCCATTGTTATGTAAACTGGTCACCCTTAAAACCAGCGTGTTACGTGTAGTTCCTCCAGCAGCGCTTTGAAGACTGAGATTTTGGTGTTGTGGTGTTTTTCCCCTTAGGTACTTGCTTCTCTTATTATTCGCCTTGCTCTAGCAGAAACGTTCTGTCTCAACTGCGGCATATTGGCACTAGATGAGCCCACTACCAACCTCGACCGAGAAAACATAGAGTCTCTGGCACACGCCCTGGTGGAGTAAGTGATCTCTTCATGTGAAGCTTAAAGATGGATATTTTTCAAATGTTAATCGTGGTTGGCAGAAGTGAATTACATTTTAAGCTGGCACATCTTTTTGGCATCTGCAAGTATACATGCAAAGCAGTAGCTTTAGATTCCCTCTCCTTTATCTGAAAGAGGAAAAATATTTCTTAAATAATTTGGGATTCATTTTTGTATGGGTAAAAGAGTTGCTAATCTGCATTAGATTGCTTGACAGTTCATGTCATTCGTTATCAATAGTTAATGATTTTCGTACTATGTATTTACAAACAAGAGTGTGATTTAGACAAACATACGCTAAATAATATCTCTTTGTAGGATAATAAAAAGCCGCTCACAACAGCGTAACTTTCAGCTTCTGGTGATAACTCACGACGAAGATTTTGTTGAACTTCTGGGCCGTTCTGAATATGTGGAAACATTCTACAGGATCAAGAAGAACATTGACCAGTGCTCTGAGATCATGAAATGCAGCGTCAGCTCCCTTGGCTCCTACGTTCATTAGAATTTCAAGTAATTATGTATTAGCTTAGCTGCCCAGCTCGGTGGAGCTCAGATGAAGGCAGCTGAAAACATGGTTCCTTTCTGTCACATGCTACTGAAGATTTGTAATGATTTTAGCTAGAGTCTGAAACTATGAGACTTTTAAACTTCTACATACTTCTGTGCTTGGGTTTAAGAATCGCCATGATTGGGAAGAGTTTAAATGAATACGCCATCACCTTTTAGATACGTTTTACACTTTAAAAGTGAAAATAAACATGTGATATTCTTTGCGTATGTCCTGGTGGGGAGATCCAGCTGCAGATTCCTTGGAACAGTTGCGGCTCTGTCAATAGAATAGGGCTTGCTCTCCATCCCTGTGTTGGGGCAAGTTCAGGACTGAGTTGTAGCTCTCTAGCCAAGGCGTGGTCGTAGCTTCCCACCCAGTCTGCACAAAGTTCAGAAAAGCTTCAAAGAGAGCGGGATCTTCACAAAGTGTAACAGCTTTCTTTAGAATAAAGGAAGGTCACCTCTCGAGCTAGGTGAACAAGTGGATGACAGAAGTGTATTTTAACCATATTCTCTTTGTTCAGTGTCATTTACCGCTCTGCTGCTTTAAGATGATGACCTTTACGGGACTTATGTCATATTCTGATTCTCCATGAGATACAATCAAGATCTGCGAAAATGATACAAAAATGCCTTAGAGAGTCAATTTGTGTGGATGCTGAGCCTCGCCCACACCACTCAGAACCCTTCCTGGAGCTCCTTTCCTTGATCCATCAACCCCCGCTGGCCCTGCAGAATGCAGACCAAAGGGAACCTGCCCCTCAGGAAAGCCGGCAGGGACGGTACGCTTCAAAAGGCGAAGGACCTGATCCTCGCAAGTCCTGAGATTTCAGACCAGGGTTCCTAAGCAGCGTGGCTTGCTGCCTCTGAAGCCATGCCAGCCCTGAGGAATGCGATTTCTGGGTCTCTGTTTCTTTGTAACTGAGTAAGGGAGGAACCACGTCTTCTGCCTTGAACTCTGGGTGCCTGGAACAAGTCCACAAGCAGAAGCTTGGTCTTGCAGCTCTTGAAATCCGTGCAGACAGTGGTGATCGGCCAAACCTCCTTAGCAGACAGACCAAAGCTCGATTTTGGAGGAAGAAATCTTTAAACCACCATGAAAAATAATAATAATCTCTGTAACATCAAGATGTTCATCTTGGCAAGAGGAACAAGGCTGAGGACGTTGCCTGCTGTCTTCCTGGTGCTTCGGGCTGCGGGAATCCCTTTGTCACGAATTTAGAGGGCTGAAGCAGGCGAGGGTGGTCAGGAGCGCAGGCAGACCTGGCAGCAGTGCAGGCAGGGCCCGGGGCCGGTTAAGCACCACGGACAGAGGCAGCCCCGGGAGGCGCCGGGGGGGAGGGGGGAGGGGGCCCCTGTGGCCCCCGTGGGTCAGCCTGCGGCTCCTGCCTGGCTCCGCTGAGCCCCTCGCCTTGAATCCTCCCCCCCTGTGAAAGGGGCTGGGCCTCTGCACCAAAAGAGACAAAACCCAGCAGTACCCTGGGGTCCGGTTCTTCAACAGCCGATGTTCTTCCCCCTGCTGCGCGGCAGGAGGTGCCTGGAAGGGTAATGCCAGCAACGGAGGGGTTGATCGAAGGATTGTTTCCACCTGAATTTTCTGAAACTGCAAGTCACTAGAGTCAGGGTGGCCCCAGTCATCGGGAAACCACTCAAAGATAAGTGAATGAATGGGACTTCCTAGCAATTACGCTCTTTCACCAATCCCCTGAAAAAGCAATTAACACCAAATGGAGGGGGGGGCAGAGTGGGGCGGGGGGGGAAGGCAAAGGAAAATGCTGCTAACATGCATTACGTTTGCAGTTTTAAAAAAGAAGCTTCACTGACTCTAGTACTACTTCCTGAAGGGGAATTTTCTTAAAGATAGCATCAACAGAAAAAAATTGACTTTGAATTTTCAAATTTTCCTGTGCTACCTGTTAATTTTAGCATGACACATACATCCCAGCTCATGAAGAATTACTTTCTTTTCAGAAGCAACTCCGCAACCTTTGTGAATTCTCTGCTTTTTTTTTCCTTTCAACTTAAAGCCATAGTTTGCAGTTCCTCTGGAAAGGAGTTTGGGCACATTTTTGCCTAAAATCAGCCCTTCTCTGTTCCCCAGACTTTATCCTCACACATGCATTTTGGGGATTAAAAGATTTTGCCAGGCAGAAAATGTGGTGGGAAACTAACCTCTCATGTGCCAAGAGTCTGTATTAAAATGGCAAAAAATAATCCACGTAATGATTTCATTTGAATGATCCATTGGTTCCTCAGCGTGGAAAAGAGACTCCACCGGCCCCGTGGTTTTGGTATGGACCGGGAAACAATGTGCTCATGGGAATCAAGTGCGGGAGAAACTTGGAAATGGTTCCACGATCTTCTGCTGCTCGTGGGCACCTCGGGGAGCGTGAGGACAGAACCGGGCCCCTGCTGCGACGGGCGGCGGAGCTTTGCTGCCGCCCTCCCCGGCGGCACCCACAGGAAGCAGGGCTGCTGCA